AAGTCTAAAAATAAGACTAAAGAGTAGAAAAGTATTAACAAGAGTGAAGAAGGCTTCATTCTTACCTCAATATATACCCTCTACCTAAGACCTATATAGTGATGTTCTATAAAACCTCCAACATGTGTCATACTTATAAGATAAGTTTCTTACATTTATGCCACATGATTAACTTATACCATAAGATACCAATATGTACAACATGTAGCTAACTTGTTGGCTAGGTTTTTAATCTATCAATCAACTACAAATATGTATAAAGTCAAATCCGTATCTATGAAGCTTTTTCTTAAGATATTATTAAATCTATCTTTATTTATTTTTTATCTAATATTTCTTATTTAGATAAATATGAATATTTTTGATACATATACAATGATAGTTATTAGCAAAAATAAAAAAATAAAATTTCTAATATGTTATGTTATTTAATTAATATATTTATTAATTTTTTATCCTTTGTACTATCAAAATATCTATTATCATTAAAAAAATGATAATTAACAATCATCAATATTTCAAGAAAATATATGCCAACATATATATGAATAAATAATAAAATTACAAATCAAATCTAGATAAGATCTTTTTAAATTCTATTTTCAAATCATTTTAAGCTCTAAAAATAATAATATTTCTTATTTAGATTTGATTGATTTTGTTAGATTAATTATTTATTGGTTCAAAATTGAAATACTTTAAAGCTAAGAAATGTATTTTTTTTTAATATTTTTAGAATTATAAAAATAAATAAATCATATTAGTTTAACTAATTTAAAAGAGTTTAATTAATACTTCTAGGAATAAAATAGATTTTAATTTCTATCATAAGCAATAGTAAGTTCCTAATGTTGATGGTTGTTAATTATGAATTTTTGATCTTTTTGTTTATTTCATGAAAATATACACAAACATAAGAAGACTAAGTTTCTATAAAAGTAATTAAAAATGACTTAAGTTTTTTTATTTTAGATATTTTTTTTAAAATTAAATATATTTTTTATAGTATATGTAGTTTAAAAGATTTATTTAAAATATTTAAGTTATATATTTATTTTTAGACTTATATCTAAATTAGAAATAAATTTATTCAAATCTATTTTATATAAGAATATAAAAAATTAATAAGACATTAATTAATATATGGTTTTGCATGGATTGAAGAACTTTTTCAATGAATTTTTAAAATTTTAAGTATTCAATACATGCTACCTTTGCAAATTTCAGTTATTAAGTAGTTTTGAATTGATAGAAAAAAGTGCAAACAGAGCTATAGATACTTGACATAATTCAATGAAGTAAGAAGAATTGTAATAGTCAACAATATTTTTTTACTTCTATATTTTTTTCTTGATACATAGACAAATTTATTGAATAATTAGTATATATAATATTTTTTGAACATCTAATTTTTTTTATATCATTATATGATATTTAATATAGAACAACAACATCTTTGTTCTTTTTTAATTATTACAAATATCATATTTAAGAAAGTAGTATTATATTATAACATAAGTACTTTGTAAAAGAAAATTTTAAAGATCTAAGATATTTTTTTAAAATTCAAGTAAAATCTTAATAGATATCTATATTCTTAAGTATTAGTAACTAATAAATTAAGTTTAACCATAAAGTTAATGTATTGTGATGTTTTTTGTATTAAAAAATCTGTGACTAACTTCATAGGATCATAAATAGATCTAAGATAAAGTAGCTGGAAAAAATATAACTATTATTAAAAATTGAATGCTAGAATATTATAATACTTATTTTTAAAATGAAAAGATTAATATCCAAAAAAATAAATATTTTCAAGACATAGTCAAAGTTTTGACTTCTATTTATTTCAACAATTTTTAAAAATTTTCTATAAATAAATAACTTCTATTTATTTCTAAAATAGAGATTTATTTTAGAAATTAGAAGGTATAATTAGAGAGTTAATATCAAGTATACTATAAGAATATAAGATTTGTAGAATAATAACTTTAAATAGATCTTTAATAAGATAATCAAAGCAAAGGTTTTATAAACAACAAAGTTTTGAAAGCAATAAAGATTAGTATGAAGTTTAGATCTTTTTTAGATATTTTGTACTTGATTTATGGTTGGATTTTTGTGACTATATTAATATATAAGAAATACTATACATATTAAATTTTATATAATTTTAATGGTGTAATTTGAAGAAGTTTGACTACATATACAAAACAATATTGTAATTGGATAATTTAGGTTCAATTATAATTTCTTAAATATCTAAAGATCTAATAATTTAATAAAATAAAAAATTAAGGTAATAATAAATTATTTTATAATTAGACTTGGTACCTATTTTGAGTAGATATTTATAGTTAAAATTTTAAAAATCAACTACTAGAAGTCTTTATCAAATCTAAAATAAGAAATTAAGTATCAATAATGAGAATTTTATTTTAATAACCATTGATTGATAAGTTAGATATTTCTTAAATTGTATCATTGCATATGTCATTGAAAAGACAAAATATTATAAAGTTTAAAGCTAAAATGATTTCAAATTAAACATCATATTTTAATGCAATGTATTAAATAAAAATTAGGATTTATTAGAATTTCTTTGGATTATTATAAGAATTTTAAGATTTAGGATTTAGTTTATTAATTTTGATATGATTTAAAATTTAGAATTTAGAATTCAATAAGATCTAAGGTTTGACTTTTGTTACAATCAAATATTTATAAATTGATACAATTTTGATTTTAGAATTGATAGTATATTAGGTTTATGATTGCTTGAGTTTAGGATAACAAAGAAGGTTTATGTTATTAAGAAAGTATATTTATAGTATCTAATTTCTTAATTAAAAGATAGTTAAAGGCAATAATTTTTTTTCTTTCTACAACCAAATTTTTAATATATTTTTAAATTTAACTTCATAGAATATAATATTAACAACTTTTTATTTATATAAACTTTTAAAAACTCAAGACATATTTAAAATATTATATTAAGCACTTAAATCCTACATTTGTTGATTCTTTCAAATCAAAGTCTTTTGTAGTTAAAATTGCCAAAATATTTGCATTAAGCTTAGAATATTTAAAGAAGCATTGTTTATATAGTATCAAGGATAAGAACTTAAGGAATATAAATGAAAAAAATAAGATATATTTAAAAGAAAGATGTCAAAAAAAATTAAAAATTAAAAATCAAAAAGATATATATATATATATATATTTAAAAAAGAACTAAAATAGCTATTGCTAAAGACTAAAAAATTAATGATTCTTGAAACCAGATTAAAAGCAAAAAAGGCCTTCATAAGAATGAAAAAGGTTTCACTCTTGCCTCTATATATAATATCTAATTAAAGAGCTAAATAGTAACGTTCTATAAGTAATCTCTCACATGTTCAACCTAATGAACAAACTTACAAGGCAAGTTTCAAACAGGAGCATCACATAACCAACTTATACCACAAGTGGTCAATATGTACAACATGTGGTCAACTTGAAAAGCAAGTTGTCAATATGTGTGACATGTGGCCAAATTGTTGGCCAAGTTTTCAACCTATCAATCACCTACAAACACTTGTCAAATCAAATTTGCATCTATGAAACTTCTCATTAGGATATTATCAAATCAACATGTTTTTACGTACTTTTATCTAACTCTTCTTATCCTCCCAAATACCAATGTCAATATTGATGTCTATCACATGTAGCTCATTTGGCATTAATACATTATTGTAATAAAATAGATAAGTCAATCTAGTCCTATTATTGATATCTAATGCTCTCTTTGCATACCTTACAAACTATGAATTATTTTATACATATTTTTAGAACATATAAAATAGATGTATTCCAATTCTTATACTAACTAATCTTTAGTCTAAGAAAGAAGAATCTTTAAAAGACTTTTTTTGGCAATAAATTGTATATGCTTGTACTATGTTATTAAGATTTAAAAGATTACATATTTTATGATCTTTACTAAGGAACTTAAGTTTGTAGACTATTTAAATCTAAATTAATAAATTTATATTTAAATAAGAAATATATAATAAACTCTATATGAAGAAGCTTATATAAACTAGTTTAATCGACCATAGAAAAAATCATATAAAAAATAATATGCAATAAGTTTTTTTAAAAAAAAAAAAAAAAAAAAAAAAAAAAATTCTCAAAATAAGTCAATATAAATTTTAAATGGCTAAAAATATCTTTAAGATTGATTCTAATGACAATTAGATAGATTGTCATAGTGATATGGGGGGGTTTGATAATCCATGTTAATTTTGAAGAATAGAATAACATAAATCTTAATTATTTAGATTTTAGATGTTTTCTCACTCTCATATTTTTCTTAACTAAAGGTGTTAGAATATTATTAATTTCTTTCTTTAATTCATAATATGCAATCAAAGCATTGGATAGACTCAATTTTGTGATGAATTGCCATAATTTGAGAGCATAGCACTTTTTAAAAGGTGTTAACTGGTCTACTTCATTCTACAATTCTAGATTTTACTCTGAAGTATAATTTAGGTGTCGACTTAGTTGAAAGCTTGAAATGGTCTGAATGGTGAGCTGTGCGTGTCTGGGAACTTTCAACATCACGTAATTACAGAAGCTGTCCCGTTTCTCATTGTGAATTCCCTCCCATCGTGACACACAAAGGGTAAATTGAAAAATGTTCACCGCGACTCACTGGATGGATTGAAATTGTTTGGAACAGATACGCATCTAAATTTGGTTTGGGCACCGAAGGCTTATTTAACAAAACATGCAACACAGCAAGAGTTAATGGTACTCTGTTCAATACTAAAAGGATCAAAATCAAATCAATGATAATGCAAACTTGGTAAAAAAAAAAATGAACTGTGAACCGAATCATTCACTGTGCACATTATCCAATATATTTAACATTTTGCATATAGATTACCTCGGTGGACAACAATGAATAAATTAAACGATAGTCCAAGTCGAGCATTGCTACGGGAGGCGATAAGCTGGATAAGAACCTAGTGTGGTAATTCCATTTCACACGGCATCAGCCAAAGCAGTCCATTGTATAGGCCACAATCTTCGGGCACCGACTTGGAACAAGTTTACACAGGATTAAAATAATCAATGTTATCAAGTAAATGCAGTTCAATAAAGACTTAATATACAGGCTGAGTAACTATTTCAGAGACTAGTTCTTCGATATTAATCAGTAGACTCAGCTAGATTGGATTTGCTTTTGCACTCTGCTCTTAAGATCTAAATAGTAGCGCCCTTGTGAGGCAATTTTTTGCCTCTTTATGGTACATCTGCGCAAAACTGCAACATTATGCCTGTTCAGTATCGTACAAAAATTATAAACAAAACCTTTGAGTCGCTCTCACTAAAGCCCCCAAAACATTAAATTTAAGAAATAAAAAAATAAGACTAAACTAAAACCACACTAAATATGCCTGTGAATAAGTAGTCCCAGTATCAGATACTACCAGTGTTTGACAAGTTCAAAAAGTATGTCTCTTTGGTATATCACATAATCAGTTTATGGCCGCTGTATGCTAACTTGCTGAGAGATTATGACTGACAAAACACGAGAGGGTGACCATGCTTAGAACGAGAATGAGGCTTCTCTGATCCCTTACCCTTTTGCGATCCCATTTCCACCAAACTGGATTGTCAATGTATCGCCGTTTAATGCCTTTCCCTTCACCAGCTTTGGACCAAGTGTCTAGAAGAGTTTCCAATTTTAAGAATGTCGCATCATGTAGATTTGACCAGTATCGTCTCTGAATCGTGAACACATCCAGCATGGCTCCTACGCCCGCAGGAGTTGGCTGGAGATTGTCTGGCAATGGACCAGGGTTTGAACCTCGAAGAACCTATACCAAACACTAGGCATGTCAGCAAATTTAAGTTCCAGACCAAACGATGAGAAATTGTTTTCCTCGAATATCCCAATGCAGGATATTCATGGCTCGTCACATTAATAACCAAAAGGCATTACCAGTAACAGACACAATGAACTTGGTTATTTCGCTACTCAGAGATGATTATTTTTGAAGAAAACTAACAGTCTAATAATATAGCACACATCGCCGCATAAGTAAAAAAATCACGCGAACAATTGAACACAAAGCAATGAGGCTGCATAGGACCATCACTCGACTTGTTAACTACGCCCAACTGTTCAAATCCATGAATATGCTAAATTACCTTCATAACAGCAGCTGCTGAGGCAGAAATAGAGCGCAGATTATAACCTCCTTCCAGGACAACAAGGATCCGGCCAGCTGCAAGAAAGCTCAAGAGGGAAGTCATTTGTGCATAGCCCTCAGGAGTTACATCACAACCTCCCAGAGGATCTCCGCTAGCGGCATCAAAGCCAGCTGAAACAATTGTTATATCTGGCTCAAATTGACGAGCAATTGGCATGACTATGTGCTGAAATGCTGACAGGTAATCTTCGTCCCCAATTCCGCCACAGCTCCATGGTATGTTGACACTAAACCCTTCACCAGGGCCACTCCCCACGTGATGTGCCCAACCAGTTCCAGGATAGAACGCACCAGCTTCATGTCTGCGGTAAGAGTTTATCTAGTGAGCTCAACAAGCAAAAAACACTAAAGAACAACGAATTTCCTGGTATAAAAACGACGAAAGAAGCTTTGGAAAAGGAATCTCACCGATGAAGGGAGATATACAGTATTGTTGGATCTTGTTCAAAAATCTTTTGGGTCCCATTCCCATGGTGAACATCCCAATCAACAACAAGAACCTTCTTCGCCCCGGAAGCCTGCGCAGCTCGAGCAGCGACGCATACATTGTTATGCAAGCAAAATCCCATGACTTGGTCTTGTTCAGCATGATGTCCAGGTGGCCTAACCACTGCAAAACCATTGCAGGCCGTTCCAGTCATGATAGCTGATGCCAGATCTGCACAAATTCCAGCTGCTAGTCTTGCCGCTAATGCAGAGTGTTCGTTAGCATATGTGTCAGAAGTGAAGTAACTTAAGCCTCGTCTTTCTGTAGCTTGCACTGCACTTATATGATTGGCAGTATGGACAACTTCCAATTCTGCTTCAGTAGCTTCTCTGGAAGGTATTGTAAAACATCTTTCGGAGAGCAATCCAGAAGCTTGAAGGCCTTCCATGATAGCTCGTAGTCGATTTGGGCGCTCAGGGTGTGATTTTCCAGTTTCCTCATGTAATAACATTCTTTCGTCGAAACCAATAACGGTTTTCTTTTCATTTCCAGACACGAATGTTCCTGCATTGTTGAGGGTCAGAACTTAGAAAACCCACTGACTAAAATGTACTGAATCCTGATTTTGATCGAGGTATGTAAACAACGCTAGTATTTCATGTACCTGATTAAGAGGACTTTGCTAGAAACAGATGAAATACCATCACGGTCCAAGAATCACTCGTTAGTATGGTATCCCTGAATCCCAGCATTCAAATTGTCACATTAAATAAGGAAAGCAAGGCATTACTCTTCGATTTTACCTGAAAATGTCAAGTTCTTCGAAATCCTCTCTGCAAAACTAAGCTCCTCCGCTGCTGTAGATTTCGCAAACCCATCAACGCCTGTCACAGACAAAGACAAGAAGCACCTAAGAAAAACCATGAGCCTCTACACCTACTCGAGAAAAAAATAAATATTACATGATCTACTTTCAATAATAACGCCGAATGGTCACTGACGTACAAAAGACGATTTATGCCATATACAGCTGCTGCTGTTGGACAAAGGTAAAACGCAATGGCTAACCAAGAACCAAAGTCTTTCAGACATTCAAACATAAAGACAACGTTGCGGCGTAAATGAAACAGGTTTTGTGAACAGAACTTCAAGTCGCAGCAATAAAGCTACTCGAAAGATGTTCGGAAGACCATTGACATATTAATGTTTTTAAATATGATTCCAATGCACGTCAAGCAAAACATCCGTTCTACAAAGCAGCATGCAACATCCACATGCTTCAGGAGTTCCAGGTACTGAATAGCAGGTAATTAAATATTTACATTCCACACCTGTTAATTCGGATGGCACAGACGCTAACTTTTGCTCCAAAATGTTCGAATCACATTGTTCGTTACACTTCCAGCAATGGTCCTCATCTTCTGGATTCGGCATTGTGCAGTTTATGCAAATCCAACGCACATGGGGCTGCCACTCTTCATCTTCTGACTCGACTTCGTCTTCGTCTTCGTCTTCAATATCATGCGATACAAGAAATGCAGTAAACGGATGTACGTCATTCTCTATGTCTTCCCCCTCTTCCTGAATCACGAAATTCTTGACAGCATCATCACATGAACTGCAATCCAGCTTGCCCTCTGCAGGGCTGTTTGCATCCATTACTGTGCCTGAAAGCACGACAAATATTGATCAACGGTAACACGACGTATATACATTCAACCAATCTGAGGTGATTTAAAATCCACGAAAAGAATGACGGGGTACATCCATACGCATCAACAGTTGTACCATCTCTTGTTGAGTGTACTCGTCTGAATTAGATAATTCTCCAATGAAAAGGAAGAAAACTAAATATATGTACATATGTATGTATGAATGTCAAAATGTATGTAAATTCCTAAAACTGCAATTTTACACTCATCAATCTAACCATCCATCTTAGTGAAAGAAAACCTACAATAAAGAATAACCAATGAAATCACTGCTCATCTGAAAACAAACGGCCAGAGACCCAAAAGATACTGAATATAAACACTCCAATCATCCAACATCAACTGTAAGAGACCAACTAAACAAATGAACGTATAGCTCTGTTAGGCACATACTCAAGAACACGTGAACTGTAATTCCACATACTGCAAATACACAGAGCAGAAAGTAAAGGTATTCAGTTTATTGAGCAGAACCTTCACGAAAACTTCATTCGATGGTCACGCACAGAGAAGAAACTGAGCTCGACGACGAGGAAACTTTCGATTCACCTGAACAGCCGGTCTGCTACTGTCAGATGATTGCTCTGTCATACAAACTACGAAAAATCATACTTCCACTGCCGGTCATCGATCGGAGGTTTCATTAGAGTACACATGGCACAATCTATACGTGAACAGTCGCTGAAAATACGTATAGTTTCCAGAAACCCTAGCCCTAAGTTTTCACATCAACAGAACTGGCTGAAACCAGCTGACAGACACTACGAATCATACAAAATTCAAACGGCCGTGACCTAAACCGAGGTGAACCGCTGCTAGACCAAGAAATTAACAGAAACCCAACATCTTCTATTTCTGAAGGCAGAAGCATGGTGAAAATTCCTAATAAGGGCAAAACACTACAATCCAAGAACAACCCACCTCCAGAAGAAGCCTGCAACCACGAAATCCTCTTTCAATTCGCTACGTCACGACATGTTGAAGCAATCCCAGACGATTTGTGCGCTGATTTTGACTGCGTCGGCGAGCGTTTCGAACACACTTAGGGTTTTATTGGACTGCCAGGGGCTAGTAACTTTCCACGACCCTTCCGATGCGTTTCAATGAGACCGCGAGAGCTTAGAAAGAGGAAGCCGAAAATGACACTTTAGAGCTGTAAAAGCTTTCCTTCTCTTCATGTACTGTGAGTATTGGATAAGATTTGATATTGGATAAGTTTCAAGTGGCTTATGAATATATGTTTATATATACATATATATATATATATATATACAAGGGAATGGTAAATGGACTCAAGTTTTTACTAAATTGACCCACCCATCTAACCATCAAAAAAAAAACCTCTAGATTTGTTTCTCTACTATTGGATCTGCAACCAATAAAAACCAACCAAATTCATTATGATTACCATATTCTTCATTAAGAGTGGGTTTATTTAGTAAAAACATGGATCTATTTATCAATCTTCAATGTATGTATATATATATATATATATATGCATTATATTCCTTAGATTTTTTGAATGAAAAATATTTTAAATGTATTGAATTTGCAACAATACTTATTTACCTTTTTTGCAACAATTATCACAACACTGTTTATAATGTATTCATGCATGAAATTTGGATTCATGACCCTCAATTGTTGACTACTAATAAGTACTCTTTAAATCCCATCTTTTATATAATAAAAAAACATTTAAGTAAAAATAAAACAAGACAAAACTTCAAAATTTATTCAATATGCATCACAAAATTGTATATTAATAAAAAAAATAATACTTAATTTAATAAGTGCAAAAAACTTCAATTCTAAGTTTGTTGCTATTTTTAAATTCGGTCAAATTTTGTAGCTCTTCTATTTTTCTTTTTAATGTTATGTCTAATATAAATAAATTATAATTATCTTATAAAGCTCATAAAATAATAGTTTGTCACAAATTTGTGTATAGTAAAAAATTCTAAAGATTTAAGTTCATATATTAAAAAGCCTATGTTGTTAAAAAAAATAGTAGCACATATTGTTATTGTTGTTGTTGTTGTTGTTGTTGTTTTTTTGTTTTTTTTTTATATATTTTTTATTTAAATATTATAATTTAATTAATTCTTTTATGTATTATAAAGATGAAATCATAAATAATCAACGGTTGGGATTTTAATATTGGTTAGAATTTGCTAAATTTACTTAGTGTTATCAAGTTGGATGATACCTCTTTAAGACAATATGTTGTTGGATTATACAATATCTCATCTAACTTTTCATAGTCTAAAATATAAGTTATCACTCTTATATATATATATACAAAATTTCTGAAATGTAAAACACAATTCAATCACATTCAAGACTATTATATCTATGTGATCAGTAAGAGTTGTAAAAGCTCTTTTGAAAGGTTACTGAGCCTAGAAATTGTTGAAAGCATTAAATGTAGTCGGCGCTCTCCATAATATTTAATGTGAACTACAGTAAATATCATAGCTACAGTATTTAGAGTCTAGTAGAGAAGAACTGTTTATCCTCTCTTCTTTCTCTTCTTGTATACGAGACACAACTAGATCAATAGATTTTTATGTGTGAAGCTCTCTCTCCTTAAAAACCTTCTTGTGTGTATGACTTTTTACTACTCTTGTGTGAGTGTATTACTTATTACTACTCTTGTGTCTTTCTAAACATTCTCAATACGTTGTCGTGTTGTAACACGACTATATGGTGAAAGATGATAATATGGATCTTATTATAGAAGAGCCAAGTTAAAAGAAAAGGTAGAAAAATATGGATAAATGATAGAAAGGTAGTAAAACTTTTAGTAGTAATGCTGCCCTTTTAGAAAAAATAGCTTCTACTTACTTTGTATGGCCAAAAATAAGGCAAAATAAGATAGATTGGAAAAATAAATGATATAAACATCTTTAGGAGGAAGTTAAGAGTAAATTCTAATAAAAATTACTTTAAAAAAACTAGATGTTGATACCCGGAGAGGGCCAGTTATGAACCAGGGTCGAAATCAGATGCTGAGGCACAAAACCGAGTCTTGACGATGACTTTGGGACTCTTTGGTAGATCAGAGAGTGGGGTTTGATAGAAGATTAGATAGGGTTTCTATAAGCATTGATTTTGGATGATTTGGAGTTGATTTGACTTTGTAAGAGCTTTGCAAAGTCAAGGTTTGTTTCGAATGACTTGGGTTTTATGAAATAAAATAGGATTTATATTTTGGGTGATTTCAAGAGTTTTGTAATAGATCTATAGGTGAAATTTTGTGGATTTATGGTTATAGTTGTGTTTAATATTTTTTGTGAATTTTAGCTCGATTTAATAGTTGAATTGAGCAATATTGAGGTTTAAGTGGGTCAAGGTCTTGGAAAGTAGAATTTTAGGTCTAGTGGGGGTTTTTAAGATTTCTTGCAATCTACTAGTTGGATTGGAGTGAAACTTGCATGAGAGGATATTAGACTTGTTTTTCTATGTATATAAGAATTTTGAAATCAATCGAATTGTACAAAAAGAGATATTGGCTCTGGAAGATTGGCATCAAGATTGAAGAAGGAGGCCGACCAATATCTGAGCATATTTTTGAAATTATCATCAATTTGGTAAGTCGGATCCTTTTTAATTTTTTTGTGCTTGTTTTTAACTTATTTTTTTAAAAATGTGAAAAATTTGAGTTAAGATCAACGGTTTATTCATTAATTATTGAGGTTTAAATCTTTTGTAGGAATTACTAGGGTTTGGTTTAGGGTTTGATTTAGAGTTTGATTAGAATTTGGTTTAGGATTTGATTTGGGTTTGGTTTAAGGTTTGTTTAGGGTTTGATTTAGGGTTTAATATTTTATTAGGATTTAAGATTCAATTAGTTTTGGCCTAAAGTTTGAGTGAAGTTTAATAGGATTTTAATTAGAATTAAATTAAGATTGAATTGAGATGTATTTGAGTGATATTTGTGATCCTTCTAATATTTCTTTAAGAATTCTTATTGTTTGTTTGAAATTTCTCTGAGGTTTCTTTGAATTTGATTAAGCTTACTTACCATTATCATGGTCTAATTAGAGTATTGTTAGTATTCTATTAGAATTAGGATTTTGTTATTGCAATTTCCATTCTTCCTTCCACAGCCAGGTGCCCGGAGCATTCTCAAGCAAGACTTCACATATTACGACAACGTTATCAGTACGACTTTCTTCTATATATTATTACAAATTTTTTTGCTCTAGTCTTGAATCTCCAAATCTATTGCTACTCTTGCTCAGTGTCTGCCTCATGATCTTACTCCTTTTCTTGCTGGCCCTTATTCATTAGTTGCTTGCTTAGAGCACTTATTCCAATCTCTGCCATGCTTTCTTAAAATACTTGCTTAGAATACTTAATCCAGCCAAGCTCCAACCTAGCTTGCTCCTTGCTTGCCTTATGCTTGCCACCAAATAGCCGCCTAACTATTGCTGACTCCATCGCTACAACTGCTGTTCGCCCGTCGCTGCTGCCCACCTTACCACCGCTATCGTTACCGCCTATCTTACCGCCCGTCGTCGTTGCCACCCTGCCATCGCTGCCATCACCACTGTCCTATTGCTATTCTGCTGCTTTAATCCACAACCTTGTTAAAGTTAAAGTTAAAGTTTATCATTTTATTTGACTTTATATTATAAGATACATTTTACTCAACTTTTCTATTTAATCTTGTATTTTCTTTATAGATTTATTTATAATGAGTGCTTTGACATCTTCAACTGTTTTTACTATGGTTCTAACTATTATCAATGCATTCCAACATTTTCAAGCTCTTTTATTTCTACCATTGACTGTGGATGGAAATAATTATCTATTATGGGCAAAAATGACAAAAATAAATTTATTTGCAAAATAACTCTCAGATGCGATTATGTTTGAAGAATCTCTTACAATAAGTATTTCTATTCTTCTTTCTATTTGCTGGAAAGCACTTCTTCTCCTTCGTCGTCATCTTGTACTTGCATTACAACATCAATATTTAGAAATGGAAGATCCTGCAGAACTTTGAAAGAATCTTAAATCCAAGTTTGATCATCAAAAGACTATTTTCCTTCCACGCACACATAATAATTGGACACATTTATGTATCTTGGATTTTCCAAATTTAAATGCTTTTAATAGTGAAATATATAGTATTTTCTTACAATTACAACTATGTGGATAAAGCATCTTTGAAGAAGAAATGATTGAAAAAAGCATCACAATTACAATTACATTTCCTCTTATATCTGCTGTGCTTGCACAATAATACAGGAACATGAAATTTCAAAGTCATTCCAAGCTCATGTCCTATTTACTTCTTGCAGAGAAGCAAAATGAGCTACTCTTGCAAAATGTAGAAGCTTGTCCTATTGGAACTACAATTTCAGAATCTCATGCACTTAATATTTCAAAGTCTAAGAAAAAATTATATAAACATAAAAAAACGTACTCATAAGTATCAAGGTAGTCATAATTATGACCATTTCTACCCATATAGAAACAATAAATATTCTACTATTAATTACAGTACAAAAAAAAATCAGAGATGCGTTCTTGCCATCAGTGTAGAATGATTGGACATTTAGAACATGCATGCCTTATTTCAAAATATTTTATTAAAATATTCTAAGAAAATAAAAAACTACGAGCTAAGGCTCATGAAGTTCATACCATAGATGCGTCGATGGATTCAATTGGTGTTGATAACTTAGAGGCTTATATGAAAGACAAAACCTCTAATGATGAATCAAATAATGCGCTCATTGATTCTACAACAACACATACTATCTTACAAGATAGACAATTTTTTATTGAAAAATCTTTAACTTGGAAAACTAAAAATATGATGACCATGGCTGAAAAAAATGCGTTTTCTTTCCAAGAGGGCACAGCAATGGTAAAATTATCTATGAGTTTCATCATAAAATGTAAACATGTAATGTTTACACCCTCAACACCTCAGAGTCTAATCAGCTACCAAGATGTGCGTATTAATGGTTATCACCTCTCAACTGCCATTTTAAATAGAAAAGAGGTTTTGGTTCTTACGAAGAATCATAAAGTTGTTGAAAAAGCTTTTGCTATAAAAAATGGTTTATACCAAATTGTGATTCGACCTTCTATTATATTTAA